TGTTGCCCTTGCCAAATGTTTTGACCTGGGGCTGGCCGTCATAAAGTCCCCCCTAACCCCCCCCCCCATTGGCACCAGATCATAAAGTCACCCCTGACCCCCATATCCCCCCCCCATCTACTTGGTGCCAGCAGATTGATGTTTCCAGCACTTTCTGGAACTGTTGCTTGAACAGTCATCAAATATGTGGCTCCATTTCTAAAATTAACCCAGAAATCCAATCTGAATTGACCCAAATGTTTATATGTGTAAAATTACAGCTGAGTCCATAGTTATTTAAAATTCGGCTTCACTACCTCGAAACAATACTAAGCTTGGAGTACGATCAATAGGCATGTTCTGTGCTGGTGTCCTGTTTTCAATCATATTGAATATTTAAAAAATCTATGAAAATCTCAGGTTATAGCTGGTATGGTGGCCTGTGAAGGGATTAGCGAATGATAGCCCTTGTGTTCTGTGTGCATATAAAAGCAGATGGACTCTTATTGCACTGAACCCCGTTCAGACGCTTGCTCCTGCATTGTTACAGCAGGCTTCCCTCCTCTGCCCTCTTTGTAAAGCCTTTGTTGATTGTAACGCTGCTCGGACTGATTTTACCGCTGATCTGGGTACCGTTTCACACTCTCCAAGCACATAAATCCCAGAAGCTTAAAATATTCAATTACAACAGACAGAGGCTTGTCTATATAGGTTACATTCCAGAAAAAAAAATATTTTTACATATTTTATATATGTATTTTATATATTCCAAGATGATGAACGAGAACTGGAAATATTTCAGCTTTCTGCTGAAGAAAATGAACATTTTTTATTAATTATGACTCATAGTTTGGAATAACTAGAACATTTAGTCTTAGATGTCACTGTAATTCAGCTGTAATACCTGTGAATATTCATGATGTAAAATAAATATGTATGTAATGCCACCAAACGCATGAATCGGGACAGTTCATTGTGTTTATCAGCCTCCAACTCCACAGCAAACCTGTGCCACATTCCCCTCACGACTCCTCAGTATACAAAGGGGCTTCCCCACCCACATCAGCCCCCACCGCCACTAGCCCTCCCCTATTCAGTGCTTCAGTGATCTCCTGAAGACCCTGTGGGCAGTAAAGACTCAGAGGCTGAGTGGGCTTCTCCTAGCAACGGCTCACGGTAACACAATATTCTTTCACAGTCCCTTGAAGACTCCCAAACAAGCCCAGTGCTTTCTTGAAGAACATCTTGTGAGGGGCTACTGTACTGCAATGTGAAGTTGGAACAGAAAGACTCAGAATGCAGAACAAGGGGCTGCAGAGGAACCCCCCCAGTCTAACCTAACTGCAGCCAACATTGAGATCCCCTCGGTGGGGGGGGGGGGGGGCAATGGCTGGTAGGTGTCAGTGTATTGTTTGCTGCTGTTTCAGGTGTTGACGTTCTTCTTTTCGGTCCCTACAGAAGGCGCGTGACTTTAAACAGCCATGCACAAGAAACGGGAAACAGCTCAACGGCAGGGGTGAGTCCCCCCCCCCGCACCTGTATGGAGGGACAGTGTATCTACTGCATTATCACCCTGCATACCTGCCACCTCTATCAGCATACACTGTGTGGCTCTGCTGTAAATGCATCAGCAATTACATAATGTTCACACTTGCATAATTCACACAGGAAGTAAATAGAGGCGCAAACATGGACTCAAGGCATGAGACCAGAAAAAGATTCAGATGAGAGCTGGAATTTAAGTGCTGATTGACCAGTGTGGAAAGTCCGCAACTGCCTTGTTCACACAGGCTTAGTGAATCTTTTCAGTAGCAGGCAGTGTTCAGAGTGGGGTTATAACTGGCCTATGTGTTTTCAGACTGTATATTTTCAAAATTTTAATAAAATTAGGTGTTAGCATTAATTCAAAAGTGGTGATTGTTTGTGTTTTTCCAGAATCAGCAACCTAAAACCATTTGCTTTCTAAAACAAAACCATACTGTCATTCATAACAGAAATAATAAAAAAAAGCTATTGTTAGAAACATGTTTCCAAGCAGCGACTTGGAGGTTCCTAATCCAGGCCCAGAGAGATGCAAGAACAGTTACTGACCAAAAGTCTCAATTTCAGTGACCACCGACTGCAGCTCAGTAAATGCAAACCATGCATCTGATTTTGGAGAAACTGTCAGCTCTAACCTGAATGAAGTCAGAAATGCTTAGAGTTAAACCATAAGTAAAGGTGGCATTAGTCTGGTAAGAAGAAATAATATTTTGTATTTCTGCTACAGTTAATATTCAGCAGCAATGTTTCAATCAGGAAAATGAAATAAAGTAGATAATCACCAACCACCCAAGTATGATAACTAGGATACAAACACGATTGTCCCTTGTTTCACAGAGGTCTTAAAAGCCGTCAGATGCACACATAGCTGACTGTGAAATTGTTTGGGAGACTTACAGTTAAAATGAGCCATAGAGCTTAAAAACGCCACTAATGCTGAAAGAGGCAGGTCTCCTGCAGATCACCAAGGCAGCCCGAAGCAGGAGGGGGCGGGGCTGTGGAAAGTCCAGGTCATGTGACTGTTTACTCGAGCTCAGCCAGACGAGCATGCTTTAAAGGATTCGGTGGCTCAGTGCAGCCCGGCGGCTCAGTGGCCAATGATCCCCCCTTGCAGCCTGGGGACACAACGGATGCACAGCTGGGCAGGCTCACTATGACACAGAGAGTCACACACGGCTTCTTCCCGGCCAGGGAGTCAGAGAGGCGCAGGGACGGCATGGTCAAGTCAGGTAGGAGGCAGGCTTCCTCGTCGCGCCATGGGGCTCCCCAGTGCCCCCCAGACACTGACAGACACATTCCGGTAGCCTTGTTTACCTCCATGCTTCTTGCACTGCAACACAATGTAATATTGTCAAAAATTGAACAAGAATTTGTTGCCAATTGTTGTCAAGCTGAAAATTTTCCTGCAATTTGAGAAAAAAAAAAAAGCTTGACATGAACACTGAGATGCCTTTCTGTGACAGCTGCTGGTGCCCATGCTTCGTGGTCATACTGCGGTCGCATTTTAGAGCATGCTAATAGAGGCAGAACACCTGCACACTGATACTGTGTCAAAGCCCGGCAGCAATTTTTCAAGAGTAAAGCCAGAGAGTTTCAGTTTCTGGGACTGGGATGGGCCGCTGAAGTGGGAATAAGGGGCAGTATTGCGTGCTAACAGGAGCTTGGGGGGGTGTATGGCTGTATCAGATGCTTTTGGGTAAGTGTGGCGCATATGGGAACATCCTGGCCGCTGTGCCCTAGCCCCCAAGCCGCACCCCCACACAGGATGTGGCCGGCAGTCTGTATCTGGAATACCAAGCCCGGTGTCACACAGCCTGGGGAATTATTTTCCGACATGCTGTCAGACATCTCAGGAGGTACCAGGATCTGAAGCTCACTTCTTTTTCTCCAAATTTACTCCTGCCACCCCCACGGCAACATCTGTTTACCTTCAAAACAGGGTGAAAATCACATCTGAAGGCATCAGACACAAAGTTAGTAGTTTCTCATGCAGCACCTGTAAATGCTATTTTAAAGAAGAGGAAATTTCAGGCTTTTATAATGCAATAGAAAACCACTTCAGGAGTATTTCCTACTTAAACTGGTTTATGTACGTTCTTGTACTTTGCCACTCTTTGGATTCGATTCCTCAAGCCTCTTAATGTCCTTTCATCACAGTATTACCTGAATGTTTAACTACCGGGGCACTTGAGTTTACTTCATCAGTTAATTTTTTAACCATACTGCTGTTCTTTATGATATGCGTTCAGAAAAAAGAACAATGTTTTCTAATGCTCAAATAATCCTTATAAACTTTCAGAAATACTCAGAAGCTCTTGAATAATATTTTATTAATCATACGTTGTTTTTGAAGCAGTAGTGTTTTCTTTGCACAGATTAAACGTCTGACTTTAAATGGCTTCATTTGGCTTGACTCATTACTCATTCGCATATTTGCATGTTGTTCCTTCTGAGGTTAGCTGGCTGCTTTTTTGTATGATGGTTGTTTGCTGAAGTTTCACTATTAGTTTCATGGTGAGTAGGAGTGGAGACATTGATGTTCTGGCTGTGAGAACGGACCATCCCCCCCCCACTCCATGGGAGACTGGCATTTCTGGGCATCCTCTGCTTAAGCCGGCGTTCCCATGGAGACCGGCACTGTTCTGTTTGTATACAATCTGGGCTGAGAACAGATTCTCTCACCCCCCGAAGACCTGAGAAATGCAGGCCCACAAGACAGCATGGAAATGGGCAGCTTTCCTTGCTAATGTCATTCAGGACTGAAAGGGCACCACGGACAGTGAAGAGCTCAGCCGGGGCGGGTCTTATACTCGCTAATCGTGAGGGCTGAACTAAACGAGTGGAGCCAGGGCATCCTTACATAAGGCTATAATTATAATATAATGTTTTCTGTACAGATTTGCTTTGTTTTCTTTTATTATTTTCAGCTGAATGTGAGATGTGGCGATATTCATCTGAAGATATATGGTGTCTGAACAGCAGGACGTTACCTCATAGCTGTCCTAAAAGACTGAACTCCATGTGTTAGGTGCTACTGAAACACTACTCAGCTGTCCCTAAACATGCAGCCACACTGCACACAAACAAACATACATATGAAAAACATAGAAACATGCAGAACACAAACATATGTAAAACAAATAATACACTTTACACACACTCACATAAATACAATTTGCATACATATGCATTTGTGTAATAGTGTGAAGGATGGTGCAGGAACATATTTCAGGGTAAAGAGAGCTAGAAGCTACTTGAGAACATCACCCCATGTGTCCATTTGAACTGAACACTGTAATTACATTTTCCAGAATTATGCATTAAATACAATAAGCCTTGGCTCTTAGATCAGGACCACCATGAGAAATCTCTATCCCAATTCAGGGGCTGATCTTTTGTAGATCGCATTTTTCTAAAAACCCACGCAATAAATCTTGGAACAAGTTGGGCTGCAGAGCAGGTGTTCATTTTGACATCCATGTTTTATTTAGTGTTAGACTTAGTCAAATGACTAAAGCACATTTTAGTCATATTGTAGTCATTATTTTAGTTTAAAGAAACATGATGAAAATGATCATTGTGATCATTCTGTCAAAACTGTAAATATAAAAAAATAATAATTATTATTATTAATAATAATAATAATAAT